ATAATACAATAATAGAATATTTTCTATACTATGCTATGCTAGTATTACTCTGTGTTATAACCTACTTTGTAACAATAGGAGTAACAAATTGTTACTTATTATTTTCTATAGTTATATATTTTTAAATCTTATAATTTGATAACTATTAGCCTGTTGACAAATAGTAAAAACTACACTAAGAAAATTGATATTAAGGATTCTATTGGTGAAATCAAATTTGTATTACAATTAGAAGTTACACAGAGTTACTTAATTAAAATTTAAAAAAATACTAATATACTACTAATATATATATTTAACTTCTGATTATTTAATATTCTAGCAAACAATAAACAAATTCTTGAATTAAATTTATTACAAATAAATTATATCTTCTGGTATTTCTTTTTAGAAGAGTAATAAAAAAAAAATTTATTACAAATACTAAATATAATATATTTTGATTAAAATTAAATAAATATTTAATATCAAAAAAAAGAGCTAACAGTTATTTTTGGAACTCTTTCTGTTGATTACTGTAACCAAAACAAAGCAAAAAAAAAAGTATAAAATTAAGCACTAGCTTACTAAGATAATAGTAAAAACAGTACTATAAAAAAAGCTAAAGCAAGAAAAATTAACTATAATTATATAGAGCAATTTTGTTCTCTATAAACCTTGGTGCTCTCTAGCTACAAGAATATAAATTTTCGTCAAAAATTTGAAAAACCTTTAGAAAACTGGGGATTTGCTATAACTCTGTTTTGCAGATTACCAAACAATAACAACAATACAACAAAATAAAACAAATAGATATAGACAACATGATCTATACAAACAAGTAAACAAGCAAAGGTAGACAAACAAAGAACAAAATAAACAAAACACATAAGTATATCAAATGTATTTAGCAAACAAACAAACAATAATAGACAAAGCAGACAAATAACAAATATACAAACATCTAATACTAGCACTAGAGAAATATAAAAATTTTTTTAATCAAAGTAATAGTAAAAAAGTTGCACTATATAATGAACAAAAGGCAACTACTTTAAAAAAAGATAGCAAAATAGCAAACTATCTAGACACAGATGATTTTTATTTAATAGCAATGATCTGCAATATATTGCATATTTACAACTAGGCCTAGCATAAGAAAGTAAGAGAGCTTGAGTTATTCAAAGAAGAAAAGTTTTTAATTGATAAAAACATAAACTTTTGCAAGATACAGAATATTAGCAATATATCTAGAGCAGAAGTATCTACTTTAAAGTCAAACATAAAACAACAAATTGTAAAGGTTAAACCAACTTCTATGGAAGTTATTCTAACATACACATGTGATCGAATTTACAAAGACAAGAGTGCAAATAGCACCAGTTCAACCCTATAGAAATTTCATATATACAAATAGACAAAACTTCAAATAAAAATAGTATAATGACAGAAGTTGAAAATATAAACTTCTCATATAAAAAAAACTTTAGAGAAAATGAAAACACTAGTAATATAGAAGAAAACAAGCAGGCTATAATTAGAACAACTTTACTAAATAACAAATATAGAGTTCTAGATTATAGTCTAGAGAAACAAGTCACTGAGAAGACAAATAAGGACTCTAAAACTAAATGAAATAAAGATACAAAGAGATCCAAACATTATAAAAATATTTACAATTCAATATGGGCTCTTAAAAGAAATTTCAAATTACAAAAATCAACTATTCTAACTTATAACATTGGTGACAAGTTAGAGTAGTTATGCTCAGATATACTAAACAACCAAGTATACCATGGCACAACTGGCATAACTGCCTTTAGCAGTTATATCCTATAAAATATAAAAAATTAATAAAATTTTATTTTAATATCAAAATAAATTAAACTTAACAAAAAAAATTTTAATTTTAATTTATTTAATTGCAATAAAATTATAAATCTAAGTATCAAAATTATTATTATATTCAACATAATCTAGAAAAAGATAATATGAATTTTTAACAACACCCCCAAATCTCTCTATATATAGATAATCACTTTGATTAATAATTTTGTATAAATTTCTAACAATAACTCTAACTAAATCTACAGAAATAAAACTATTAAAATTCTTAATATTATGTTTTTTGTTATAAATCCTATTAATAAGTTTTTTTTATATCTTTTAAAATTATATCTTCATTATCACATAAATTACAAGTTTTTTCTAAAATACATTTATTTGAAATTTTATTAATTTCGTGTCTAATAAATAAACAAAAATTATAATAAACTTTTGCTCTATTATATTCTTTATAAATCTAATAATCATAATGTCATAAACAATTATTATAATAATTCTATAAAATATCTAATTTATTATAAATATTTTTTAAAGATTTATTTTTTTTATCAATATTTCTTTTATAATAATATAATTTATTTATATTTTTAATAAAAATTGATTTATAAGTTTTATATTTTCGTGATCATGAAGTGGGAACTTTAAATCCAAGATTAGGGTTCAAGGCACAGAGGCATAGACATGCCTTTTGGGCATGTCTATAGGCATGCCACTTGGCTATTAGTCATACTCTAGTTATGTGATATATATATATATCATATCTGATTGGCTAGCATGTTATAGTTGAAGTTAGAGTTGTAAATTTTTGAATATTTTAATTAGTATAATAACAAAATTTCAATTTAAGAAGTTTTGTAAAAAACTTTTATAGTAATCATGATAGAAATCATGCAATCTTAACCATACATTGTGATTACCAGAATGCAAGTTCTGTAACAGTAAGTTATGATAAAGTCTTATAACAAAATTTTTTAGTAAAATCAGAATATATAGCAAGAATTTTTTACAGTAACTTATAATAGAAAATCATGATAATTTTAATACAGACTAACTAAACTTTATTAACTACATATAGTACTTTAATCAACTACTGTACATACTATATATTACTAGAAAAATTATTTACAATAATTCTAGCAACAGAATTTTTTTATATTAAAATTTATAAAGCACTAGATTTCTATATAAAAAAGGCATGCCTATAGGCATGAGAGGCATGCCGCAACTCAGGGCATGCTCTCAAAGGTATAACTAATTTTTTACTTGTGTCTCGAACCCTATCTGAGATATTCAATTAAATTTTTTTAATAATTATAATTATCTAAAATTTTACACTATTCTTTACAAACTAAAGAAGCAGTATAAAATATAAAATGATTATTTATATAATTAAAAACTAAAGTTAAAAAATGAATTTTGATTTTGGGTTTTTTAGATAAAATTTGCTATTGAATAATTTTATGCTTTATTTTAAAAATGATTTCAAAAAATTATGATCAAAACCATTACTTTTATAAATTTAGAATTTCTCTGAGTCAACTTTAAAAAAATTTTTATTAATAAAACAAATCAATTTTTTTTTTTTTTATTAATATAATGTCATAGTAGAAACTTTATTATAATAAACCTATATTAATCTAGAGATTAATGGTTCTCCTGTTACTAAAAGGACTTAGATAAGGAGGCAGATAAGTTACTTGACCAGGCTGTTGAATTCTTTTAACTCAGTACTAGCTAATAAAAAGAAGATATGGTTTTAGAAAAAAAAAATTTTTCTATAGTAAAGATTTCTAACTATATTTGTGCTACAGAGCACCCAATATGACATTACACCTCCTATTTCCTATTTAATAGTATTATTAATTTAATTGATAATCCGCCAGTCAACAGAAGAATAAACATAGTGTAATGTGACGCAAATCACTATGTAAATCCAATAT